TCTTCAGGACTGTGCGTTGACGCGTTTGGCGCAGGCAAAAATTGCTTTCTTACTGTGTCGCTCAGAAGGGTTCTGTTGTGACAAATCTGACAGTCTGACTGAACCGCTGAGTGGTTTGCTGACTATTTGTCTGTCATTTGACTAGGTGACTGACTGATTTGTGGACATTTGAATGACTGGCTAGTTTTCAGAGTGGGTGACAGACTGATTGACTATCTGTTTTGTTGACAGAGTAGTTGACTGGATGTAAATCTGACTGACTATCTGTATATCTTAAGTAACTGCTTGGTTGACTAGCAGAGACACTGGTTACATAGTTATTTCTTAATAGGCTGACCAGCTGTCTGTCCCCCAATTGGTTTGAATGGAGACACTGTGGCCATGCAATTAGGTTGCTGACTTATTGTTTATTTGTCAGTTTGGTTGATCGTAGCGCAATGACTGAATTGTGAGGAGACATTAGTGACAGACCAATGCCAAGCCACAGAGGTCATGTTTGGGTCTTGTTGCATTTTGGAGGTGAGGAAATTTCTGTCATCCAGATAAAAGCAGGATTATCTATGTTCTTATTACAGTAATAGTTGACCTTCCGCGGCTGTGGCTCAGAGGAAGTGCGGATTCGATCCCTGGCTCCTGCCATCACATGTTGAAGTATCCTTGAGCAAGATACTGAACCCCGAATGTGAATGTGTATGAATGCATTAGTTTCTGTTCGATGGACTCGCTGAGTGAATGTGTGTGAAAAGGGTGAATGTGGCATGTACTGTAAAAGCGTTTTGAGTGGTCGGAAGACTAGAAAGGCGCTATACAAGTACAGGTCCATTTACCATTTACCTTCTATTCCTAGTCTGTGACTCCTCAACTGAAGCTTCCTGAAATTTTAAGGGCATTAGTAATTTATGTCTTGGTCAACTGCAGCTTACATTTGACATACGAGCAGCCAGTAAAACTGTTTCTGTAAGTGTAAAGTAGTGTTTTTAATTTAATTTTAATCATTATGGTGCATCAGTCAGATAAGACCCTGATAACTTGCCTTCGAGTAGTAAGTATTTATTAATAGCATCAAACCTACAATAATTGATTTTTTGGCTACTTGGGGGCAGCTGCATTACACTGAAATATCATCATCTTATAGTTGATAATCGGTTGATATGTTTACCTTGTTAGCAAACAGTCACCTATGTATACATATGCCAGATACAAAGCAACATTAGCATTCATTTAGAGTTGTGCTTTTAGCTCTGGTTTGGTCTCCACCAACTCCTGGGGGGGGGGAATATCGGACTATTTAGCTGCTAAATGATCCACTATGTTTACCAGCTGGTCACTGACTGTGTCCCGTTTGATTAAAACAGCTGCATGCTATGGCCCAAAATGGCACATCTGAGAACGTGACAGTGAACCAAAACAGTAAAATAGCACGCTAAAATGCTTCATAGTGTTGAGGAGAACTACTGTTGGGTGATAATTCTTTGTGTCACAACAAACGTTCCCTTTAACATAGGGACACATTAAAGTAGTCATGTGATCCATTGTTGATGTAAAAATATTGATTTAAGCAGCTTTAAATGTTAATGACTAAATACATACAACAACCAAAAAAATCTTTAGGTATTATTTTATAAGAATTTAACACTCAAAAACAAATGAAACTGCTTCATCTAGACTGGGTGTGGTTTGATCAGATATGAATTAAATGTTGCTAAATCTTGATTGGTGCACAGAAGTATGCAACATCAACTTTTTATAATTTAGCCCCCTTCAAACCAATGAGAAGAACACAGAGAAAAATTTTAATCTCTCATGTGAAACAACCAAACTTGTTCCAACGATGGTAGAAAAGAGTGCTCACATATCCCATCACTTGTAGTAAAGGTTTTAGGGCCTTTAAATGTGCATTGGAACTGCATCTTTTGTTTGTGGTATGTGTGTCTGCTCAGGTCAAAGCAGAGGCGGTGATACTTTCATTTAAGTCAACGAGAGATAGCAATCAACTTCATCATCTCCTCTCACCTCTGCAGTCAAAGTCAAGGTGCTCCCCCAGTGTCCCATCTCTTTATCCCTCCCCCCTATCTGCTCTCATCCCCCTCCTCTGCTTCTATCCTTAAAAGCCCAATCTTCCTGACTCTCTTTACAGTATTCCCTCCCGCCATCCCTTATTTATTTTTCTCTACACTCGGCCTTCTTTTAGCCCATTGTATCTTTTATTTACACATCAGTCTCTGCTCTTTCTCTTTTTTTATTCCTTTCCTCCTCACTCTCTTCCAATTCACAGACTGATTTTTTTGGCATTCATCTTCTGCCTTTTCTTCAACTCTCTTGCTCTCCTCCTCAGTCAGACTGTTGGTTTTAGCAGAGGAGTTGAAGAGGTAGAGAAGGTCACTGTAGAGATGACTGGCACTTGTATCAGTCTGGCATCTCCTCCCCTCCAGATTGGTTTCCTCCTGCCCTCCAGTCACATCGATGCATAATTCATCTCTCCCTTGCCCGTTGTCTTTAATTGTCGATTTTTGTTACCCTCTCTGCTTCTTTGTCTCGGCTTCTTTTTCTTCTCGCTATCTGCTTGTGGTCTCTCTCCATTACTGTTTTTGCTTTTTGTCTTCTTTTCTTTCTTTTCATGTTTTGCTCCCCCCATCTCTTTCTGTCTCTCTTGACTTCCTTTCTTCCATTTTTCATGTTCTGTTTTTCTCAATCTCCATGTCAAGTTTTTCTGTTGCAGATACATAACAAGTGAGGCTGAGATGTGAGTATGCAAAGCTGTTGGAAAGAGATGGTGTATGAAAGTTAAAATGTGTGTGTGTGTGTGTGTGTGTGTGTGTGTGTGTGTGTGTGTGTGTGTGTGTCTCCTAGTCCATTAGAATCTTTTCTCAAATGCCTACGCCTGTCTGCAGGATGTGTGTATTTGCATTCATGCCTGTCTCTGCACTAAGTCTGTGTAAATGTGTGGATGCATTAAGGGGTGCGTGCATATACAGTATATCTCAACAACAATTGGATGCATTGCTATTAAATTTAAATTAACTTTAATCTGTCCGACATTTGTTTTATTGCTCAATACCTGCAAAACTAAGGACATTCCCATCAGCCCCAGCCATATTTTGTGTTTAATGCAAATTTGCAAATATTAGCCAAGTCAAGTAAATTTTATTTGTACCGCAACCACAAATCCCAAAAGGTCTTTAAAATCTGTACAGCATACAGCACCCTCGCATTAGACAATCAACCGTAAGCAGTATACCTTCTAAACATCACCAAGTTAGCAAGCTGTTAGCTTGCTGATGTTAGCATTTGGCTCAAATGCTAACTACCCATGGATGTATTAAGAGAGTGCCACCAGTCAGTATTGCTGGCAAACTGCCCAAGTGGCCATTCCCAGTACTGCAATGGGAAAAAAAATCCCAGCGTACCAAAATGCATTTTCTTCACAGACCCCCATTATAAATGTTTAAAGAACACCTAAATGCCAGACAAGGTCAATTTGTAATATGGATTTTTAAACCATTGTGGTCCTAAATTTGTAAAACTTTCTCAGAGCCCAGAAAAGCTTTGCTGTGTGTCTCATCCCAATGTGAAGTCTATGGAGCAGGACTAAGTGGGCGGGGTTGGGGAGATAAATACTAATGTGTGCATGTGCAGTAGGCTGTACAATGTGGAAGAAAACCAGGAAGCACCAAAACTTTATTGGCTTATCAACTGGATGAGCAGTTTTAGTAATATGGCTGTAGACTTTTCTTCTTCTTTTCCTCTGTGAATGTGTGTGTGGTCTATTCCTAGATTTATTCCCTGTTGCAACATCATCATTACTCTCATCCACTGTTAGTGCCCTAATTTTAAGCTTGACTTTATTGCAACCTAATGTTTGGTTTTGTTATAAAAAATGACACAAGCACTTTCCCGTACGGTGCACTACACACTTTACACACACAGAGACTACACAACTAAGTGTTTCACCTCCCGAATTGCTCCTAACAAATGAGTGTAAATAAGGCCATTTAGGTGTAAGTGTGGTACTTTATCATTTTTCCACTGCAATAATTATTGGACTCTTGTTTCTTTGCTCATTTTCACTCAATGCAGAACCGGCTGGCTGGTTGAATTATGTATGTTTGTTTGTTGGTTTCATTACAGAAGCAGATGTCTCAGCTGGAATAATGGAGGATTTTAGAGTGTTATTATGTTGGTTTCTTTCCCTCATTCTCTCTGGTTGGAGAGATGATAAACGCTTTGGGGTCTTTCGGCTCAGTATGAATGAGATCTTCAGACACTGCTGCATATATTTGATTATAGTTCTCAAATCTACCAAGCAGTAGTGACGAGGTCAGGGACGGGTTTGTTGTTGCACTACTAATATGAATCCAGCCTCATTTCCGTGTTTCCATTCTCTATTTCTCTGTGTCATATCATCCCTTAGCTTTCAGCCATAATGTTGTTTCATTCAGAATTTAATATCTGAATTGTAGTCCTCATTTCTCTACAATAATACATAATTTAACAATGTGATGAAGGCTGAAACACAGATGAAACACAACTACTGTACATCATGCATCTCTGGATCACACACAGTTTCTCGTCAACCACAGACATTACAAGAGCAAACTGCTTTCACATAAAGAAATCATACAAACACTTCTACACTGCAGCAGAAATGAACACCAGTATGCACTTTATCAGTCTCTTTTAGTGAGCAGTGTTGGCAGCTACAAACTAACTGTCACAGTTGGTGCTGTGACACTTGGGGTTGTGTTCCTTGTTTTTTGTTTCTCCTGTGGTGTTCTGTGTGTGTGTGTTATGCCTGGCACTGAGCTGATCACCTGGTGGAGTTACACACCTGCTGGCAATCCTCATCAGCGCCTGGCCTTAAGATGTGGGGCCAGATTATTCCTTACCTTCTCATGGTTGAGTACTTCAGGCCAATTTAGTCTCTTGAGTATTTAGTTAGTCTTGTGTGAGTTTCTCTGTCTGAACCAGGACTAACGCTTTGTGTTTCTTCTCTTTTCAAGATTCCTGCACCCAGTGTGTTTTTGTGTTGCCTGGAGGATCTTTTTGGATTGCTGGTTGCCGTTGTCCAGGACTGCCTGCCCCTGCTCTCACCTCGCCCTTTTCCACGCAGCTCAACTTGTTACTCAGTTCTTGGTCAATAAACTCTTGACCTTAACCCGCCTTGAGTGTTCTGTATCCGCACCCCGGTCCACAGTCCTACCAGACCTAACAATAACACTTTCTAATAATTTAATTTACACAATAGTTTGCTTCCCCTGTGGGGATTTCTTCCACTTCTGTCCAACTGATGCAATGAGGCATTGGTGACCTTTTAAACCCTGCTCTTACTCCTTCAAACCTTGTAAAACTGTAATTGTATTTTTGTCATTCAGACCCAGGCTATGGGGAAATTTGTATTCTGAAGTACAAATAAATGGTAAATACACTGAATGTATAAAATCTGCCTAATATTGAGTTGCAGCCCTGCTCAGCTCCTTCTTTAACTTGTCTGTCACCATCTGCACTTTGGTAATACTGTTTCACTTCCTTCTCTACGTTGCCTCAAGGCTTAAAAGACCTTCTTCAACCCAAATCCTTGATCATTATAATTCCCCTCAGGTCCAGCTGTTGAAGCGCCAAAATGTGTTTGAATTTTGCGTTGTGCTCAATAATGTAAGAAGGCATGTAAAACATATGCTTAAAAAATCCTCTAATAGGTAACAGTTTGCCTTAAGCGGTGCCATTGCGGATACCCCATTTAAGTGTAATATCTTATTTCTGGGAGATACACAAAAAAGATGCACTTTTACTTTGAAAATAAAAGCCAATTATACCCTTAACTTGACCCAAATGATGTTTTATGGAAGAAAAATCTTGCTTTGTTAATCATTACAACAACAAGCAGTTCCTCCTCACAACAGATGAAAAGGTCTTTGATACTCCCAGATCCTAGAACCAGCTGCATTTTTTGAAAAGGAGTTTTTTTCACGTCTGACTCACATCTCAGTTTGAACAAATTCTTGAAGAATACAATATCTAAATTTCTGCCAGTGGTCACATTTTCCTCTCCTCACAGCTGGTCATGTTCCCATTCCAACACTTGCCGCTTGTCATGTTGATAAGTGTCTACTTTGAAATGACATCTAGCCTGAGGTGAAAGTAATCCTCACAGACATCACAGATGTTAAAGAGGCCGACAATCAACCTAGCTTATGGGAAATAGAAAGAGTTCAACGTGAGTTTCAAAAGGGTTTTCCTGATGTATTTCAGTATTAAACTACATTCTGCCACCAGCCATGCTTCTAGCCAACTTTACCATTAGGCATGGTAGCCAACGCCTGGGGCCCCCTAACATGTTATTATGTTTAGATAAACATATGCATTTTTATATACCAAGTTAAAAATGCTCCCAAAATGCTTGTTTTATGACCAGTGTTGGGCAGTACGGAAGCCCTAAAGGGCCATGCATTCATACATTTTATTTGTACCTCCAAGTGGCATATTTTCATATATTTGAGCTACTGTAAAAACACTTTGCTCAATAATTCCTGGCTATGGGTGGTATATTTGACTTCTGCACATCTAATACTGCAAGCATACTTAATATCAAGCATTTCTCCTGCACCAATGTGGAGATATTCAACAATAAAAGTCCATATTTATATATTTATATATATTTGAGGTACAGTAAAAGAAGTCAAATATACCATCCATAGCCAGTAATTTTTGAGCAAAGTGTTTTTACAGTAGCTCAAATATGGCAAAATATGGAATCTGGAGGTATAAATATGGGACTTTGATTGTTGGATTTCTCCAAATTGGTGCAGTAAAAATGCTTGATGTTAAGTATACTTGTAGTCTTATATGTGTAGAAGTCAGATATACCATCCATAGCCAGTCATTTTTGAGCAAAGTGTTTACAGTAGCTCAAATATAAGAAAATATGGAATCTGGAGGTATAAATATGGAATTTTATTGTTGAATTTCTCCACATTGGTGCAGTAGAAATGCTTGATATTTTATATACTTGTATTCTTATATGTGTAGAAGTCAAATATACCATCCATAGCCAGGAATTATTGAGCAATATGTTTTTACAGTACCTCAAATATAAGAGAAGATGCCACTCGGAGGTACAAATATGGAACTTTTGTTTTGGCATTTCTCTGCATTGGTGCAGTAAAAATGCTTGATATTAAGTATGTTTTTTATTCATCGTGGGCACATGAAACACTTTAATGTAACATATTTTATTTTAAATGTAGGTTCGAATTATAGCTTACTGTTCTTAATACCTTTATTTTGAAAACCAGAAGTGAATACGCTGTTTCTCCGCAATTACCATAATGGAAGATCGGAGTAATGGCTGGCTTGACTGCAGTTATCATATCACAGTCATTATCTCGAGATCTCGAGAAAATTAATTCGTTATCACGGGAAAACGGAGGAAATAAAATGTATGAATGCATGGCCCTTTAGGGCTTCCGTAGAGCAGTAACTCATTACTAGTAATAATATTAGAGTAATTGTATTACTTTTCCCAGTAACTAGTAGTGTAACTAATTACTAATGAATTTCAGTAATAATATTACAGCGACTCCTCCAAAAAATAATTAGTTACAATATTACTTTTGTTGTCACCCTCAACTGATTTGAAATCCAACAATCCAGTCACGTCGTTGGGTATATTTTTGGAATCGTGAAGGAAACTAGTTTAAAAGATCAAGATTCAAGATTCAAGATTCAAGAAGCTTTATTTATCCCGAGGGAAATTACTGTGCAACAGTTGCAATACAAAGGTGGGAGTATAATACAGGGTTAGAGTAAAAATAAGCTAACGTAAAATAAAATAAATAACAAAATAAAGGCTAACATAAAATAAATCAAACAATTAACTAAATGCAACAAAATGCAAGCACTTACAGGTAACATAAGTAGAAAAAAACAAGTAACTAAATGTGACAAAATGCAAGAAAAATTGCAGTTAAACCTAGGTATATACAATATACAACAATACGCACAGTGCAGTTTAGCAGCACAAATTTAAATAAAATAAGTACAAACTAAATAAGTGATAAGGAGCGATTGGATAAAGTGGTAACAGTGGTAAAAGTGATAAAAATTGTAGCAGCATTTGTTAGCAGCATAAATTAACTAAGGTACAGTACAACTAAATAAAGTGATGAGTGAAAATTGGGTAGAAAATTATAAAGTGACATTTACTCAGGGCACAGTGTCTCCACTGTCCCTCTTGCGACCGGAGGTAGATGAGTTATACAGTCTGATGGCCTGCTGCCCCAGCACACAACAGCAAAGAAGATGGCACTGGCTACCACCGACTGGTAGAACATCCTCAGCATGATGTTACATTCGTTGAATGACCGGAGTCTCCCCAGGAAATAGAGTCGACTCTGGCCCTTCTTGTAAACAGCCTCAGTGTTCTTGGCCCAGTCCAGTTTGTTATCCAGGTATACTCCAAGGTATCTATAATCCTGGACAACATCCACAGTCACACCGTTGATGGAGATGGGTGTGGTGGCAGATTTCCTCCTGCGGAAATCCACCACCAGCTCCTTAGTCTTGGTGGAGCTGAGATGCAGATGCTTAGTTGCACACCACTCAAGAAGGAGTCCACAACGCCCCTGTACTCCTCCTCCTTCCCCTCACTGACACAGCCAACAATTGCAGAGTCGTCCGCAAACTTCTGCCGGTGGCAGGACTCAGAGAGGAACTGAAAGTCTGAGGTGTACAGGGTGACCAGAAAGGGGGAAAGAACAGCTCCCATTGGAGTCCCAGTGCTGCTGACCACAATGTCAGACACACCATCCTGCAGTCTGACATACTATAGTCGACCCATCAAATAGTCCGTAATCCAGGAAACCAGGGGAGGGTCCACCTGCATCGCCGTCAGCTTACTCCCCAGCAGAGCAGGCCAGATGGTGTTGAACGCACTGGAGAAGTCCAAGAACATGATTCTCACAGTGCTTCCCGGTCTGTCCAGGTGGGCGAAGGCACGGTGGAGCAGGAAGATGATGGCGTCCTCCACTCTTAGTCTCGGCTGGTAGGCAAACTGAAGAGGGTCCAGTGATGAGCTGACCAGGGGCCGAAGAAGTGACAGGACCAGCCTCTCCAGGGACTTCATCAGGTGAGACGTCAGCGCCACCGGTCTGTAGTCGTTGGTTGTGCTGGGACGCGCCTTCTTCGGTACTGGTACCAGGCAGGATGTCTTCCACAGCACAGGGACCCTCTCCAGACTCAGGCTCAGGTTGAAGATGTGCTGCAGGACTCCACTCAGCTGGGTTGCACATGTTTTGAGGACCCTCGAGCTGACACCGTCAGGACCTGCTGCCTTGCCTGGGCGGAGTCTGCACAGCTCCTTCCTCACCTGCTCTGCAGTGAAGGTCTGTCTGCCGTGTGTGTTGATAGGGGTGGGGAGAGGTGATGGTGGGGGGAGAGGACAGGTAGGGCGTAGTCAGAAAGGAACGGAGGGGGGAGGGGGGGCAGCAGGGCTGGAGGTTTGGAGGTGGATGATTGTAGAAGAGCTGGGGGAGGGGTAGTCCGGAGCCCTCTCATCAAATCTGTTGAATACAGAGTCAGCTCATTGGCTCGTTCAGTACCACCTCCTATTGTCTGGCTGCCTGATGGTTTGTAGCCACTGATGCTCCTCATGCCGCTCCACACGTCCTTCAAGTTGTTCTGCTGGAGTTTGTGCTCCAGCTTCCTCCTGTAGCTGTCTTTACCCTGTTGGATCCTCTCCTTAAGCTCCCCCTGAAACCGCCTCATCTGCTCCCGTTCCCCATCTCTGAAGGCCCTCTTCTTCTCATTCAGCAGGACCTTGATGTCTCTGGTGACCCACGGCTTGTTATTGTTATCGAAACATTCAGTAGCTGGAATTATTCCATTACTTTGATTTTAATAAATAAAACTGGATTTTAATCGTCGTAAGTCAGAATTCTGGGATAGAAAGGGCACAATTACCAATTTTGTGGGGAGTAGCAGAAAAGTAATATAACTAATGGTGTAACTAATTACTGTAATTATATAACTTTTTAAAAGAATAATGAAAGTTTATGATTGTCGATGTCCCATCCCATTTATGAGTTATATGTCCATTTCTTTATGTACTTTTTTAATATTTCCATTTTATGCAACTGTGTACTACTACGAGGGATTCAGTCACCTCAGTTTCAGTGGGAAACATTGCACTTATTACTGTATTTGTCTGACAGTTTGGTTACATTGTCCATTACACACAAAATATGTAGCTATTAGCTAATAGCTATACTGTAACAAAACTGACGATCAACATGAGCAAAATCTAATATCACAAAAGCTTTTAGAAGTGAAACACACTGACAGTCGTGT